ATGCCACCAAAGGCAGGGCACTGACTGCTTTAGCTGTGGGGACAGGCTAGCGCCTGCTCGGGCGTGTGGCTTCATACAGCGAGTATTGGAAGCAAAGCTGACCTGAGAAACTCCCGTTTAATTCTTTTTTTTTTTTTTTAAATAAATTAATCATCAGAGGGCAAGTGCATTTGCCAGAGAGAAAGACAGACATTCACAAAAGGAGAAAGAAAAGCACCCCCCAGTGGGCATGGCCAGCACGACCCTTCTCCCTCCATTTCTCCATCCTGTCAGGGTTGGGCCTGCCCAGGTACCCAGTGTGTTTTCCGGGCTGCCGGGGCCAGCGCTGGAACCATGGTTGGCCATGTAAGACCCGGCTCCCAGTACACAGCATAACCCTGCGCTACAAGCCTCACAAAGCCCATTCCAATGAGCAAACAGCTCTCGAGTCATTTCTAGTGTGAAGCAGAGTGCTGGGCCCTTTGGGCTATGGCGTGTGTAAGCCCCAGCCCAGCCTGCAGAGTGTGAGCTGGCAGCCTGCAGGAGACCTGACAACGATCAGCCTCACTTCCAGAGAGGAGGCACCCAATGCTCACAGGATGCGCACGGGGAGAGCGGCCAGCTCAGGAGCCTCTGCGCCCTTCCCTCCGCAGGCACGCAGGTTCCCCCTTCCCAGGTGCCTGTGGGGCCTCTGGAAGTCCTGCACGTCAGCTCTTTAACGTGCTCGCCTTCTCCGCCAACCCTCCCATTCTGTCCTGGGGCAGCTGCCTGCCAGGGCACCCGCGTCTTCCATGCAGAGGCTGGAACGTGTGCTCCATTTACAGAGCCACGCGCTCGTGGACACGGGAGGGCCACGCTCCCGTGAAAGCAGCTCTCCGGTTAACAGGGCGATAGTGACTTCACGCTGAACGGTGAGAGAAAAGGCAGCTCTCCGGCAGAGATGCGGCTCTGTCCCACGCTCAGGAATCGATGTTCTACGGCTGTGAACGACCAGCCCGACCTGCTTTCGACTTGTCTAACCAGTTAACGGTGGTTCTGCAGCTACAGGAACAAGTAAGCATTGCGTAACAGATCAGTGACCACTCACTTCCGTCACGTGCCCTGGACAGCCAACCAAGGAGGGATAAGTCAGGCTTTAAAAGTCAGCAAGCAGGACCGGCATTTGGCATAATGGCATGGCTGGACTTGCATAGTCAGCAGCAGTTCGAGTCCCGGACCCGGCTGCTTATAACTCACACTAGCAAGCATGTGTGTGTGCCCAAAATCCCATGAGGAGAATGGAGGAGAAGGGACTGCGGCATGGCCATCCCCCCCGGAGAGTTATTTCTCCCTTTCTGTCTCTGGGTCTCTGGCAAGCACACACACTCTTAGCAAAAAATCTCTCTAAAAACAAAATATATTTTAAAAATTAAAAAAACAATAAATAGAAGTCACCAGCCAATGCAGGCATGCCCTCCTACGGCTGACGGCAACCTGTCCCCCCGACATGCTTGTAGGACAGGCACCGGCCAGCCCCTGACTCTTCACCAACTCGTCCCCAAGGTCTCCTTGAAGTCTCCACAAGAGACGAGCAGGTAGCTCTGCTCAAGGGGACAGCCTGACGAGCACGGTGCTGAGGCAGGTTTCTATCTCAGAGACCGAGTCCCGGCCTCCCCTCCGACACCATAAACCTTGTTGTCTGGGGTCAGGGTTCGCGGCCCCAGGTACAGAGAAGTAATGTGACCACCAGGGGCTCTCCCTCTCCCCTCTCTCCCTCTGGCTAACACATGTGCCATCTCGCAATTTAAAAATAAGTAAATAAATAAAATGTAAACATCAGTTCAAGGCCCGTCGGGAACACCCTCAAGTGGACAAGCCTAACACCGGTCTCACTTTGCGAGCCAGTCCTCAAACTGAAAGCAAGCCTGTGAAGGGGCGTGAGCCTGTGAAGGGGCGTGCGTACAAGCCCTGCCCACACCACGAGGGGCATCCAGTCCTGACCGTGAACTCGAACTTGAAATAAGAAGCAGGGAACGAATCAGGCGCCCAGAGGGGCATGGAGCTGAAGGGTCACAGCCACCGAGAGGCCGGGGGACGAGGACGCGCCGCAGGCAGAGGAAGGGGGAGAGGGGTCATGGGCTGAAGGCAGAAGAACCGACAGACACATGGCATGAGTAGGAGAGCCGGGGGCTGGAGGGCAGAGGGCAGAGAGGAGGAGACAGTGAGAAGTCAGGTGCACATCAGAACAGGAGCACCGCCGAGGAGGTGTCTGATGTCCAGGTGTCTGGAGCTGCCACATTAACGGGGACATCTGCCCATCCCTTAAGTGTGCCAGCCTCATGAGGCTCCGGTTCTCCCAAGCAGACAGACCCAAGTGCATGGCCACGGTGTCTGCCCCACACCCAGCAGGACGGAGCAATGAAGGAGATGGCACTGCGGGTGACTGTGCCCCTGGGGCTCTGGCCCTCTCTGGTGAGTGCCTGTGCACGTTGGCAATTAAAAATAAGCCGAAGATGAAGGCTTGACCAAGGACAGAGCTAATACTCCTGTGACCAAGAAGAACGCTGTCAGATATTAACCCTATGTTATTGCTAGATAGATTTTTAATAATGCCTTCGGGGAAGAGTGCACCTTTCTGGCCCATTTTCTTCTTTCCACCCCGTAAGAGATCGAGGCGCCACGCCACGTGTGAACAGCGTTTGCGACAGCGCCTTCTGAGAGCACCTGTACCCATTCACACACACGGCCCGGCCAGTCCTGGGGACCAGTCAGTACCTGGAAGAACCTGCAGCTCTGCCTCCTCGCTGTACTTTGGTGGCCCCCCGCTCTCCACCACGCAGCGGTAAAGTCCGCCGTCTCCTTCGGTGGCATTGGCGATGACCAGCGTCCCACCTGGGAGTTTGAGGACTCTGTCGTCCAGAAGGAGGGGCTGTTTGTTTTGTTCCCACCTCACGAATGGCACCAAATCCGCATTGACTTCACAATTCAGGATGGCGGTGCTCCCGGAATACACCGAGGAAGGCTCTGGTTGGCTGGTAAACCTCGGGAGACCTGGACGATAAAGCAAAGGAAGAAACGAACTGTGATGAAATGGTACTTACGAATGCAGTCCTGGGGGCTGGACTGAGGTAGATGGGAGAACGGCATCAAGGGGGAGGTCCCCAGGCCAGGGAGACAGGGCAAATATGGAAACGCGTTAAGGACAGAGCCTGCTGCACTTTTCTGCCACCCCTCTAGGAGAGGCTGGACTGGAACATGAGAGCGTGCCCTATGTCACACAAAGAGGCATGGGCAGAAACGAGCTCCAAGGGAAAAAGGAAGTAAGTGTTTGGGGAAGACATCCTTTGATGCCCTGCAAATATGTTCTTCAACAAATTCTCCCTCCTGGGTCAGCCAGGCGTGCATGCTGGGTAAGGTGGCCGACTGAGGGGTTCAAGCCCCAGACCCAGCAGCCTGAAAAACACACCAGATGCGTGTGCATGCATGCCCAGAATCCTGAGAGGACAGTGAAGGGATCGCGGTGTGGCCATTATGGCGTGGCCATCCTCCCTGGGGCGTGCTTTCTCCCCTTTCCTGTCTTTCTCATGAGCCCTATAGCAGAAACTTAAAAAAAACAACAAAACCCGACTCCCTGCTGAGGTCTCATGAAATGAGTAATTCTTCAAAATGAAGGCCCGCAACAACAGATGGGGCTCTGGCAGACAAGAGATCTCAAGAAGTCTCAGAACAGGGAAGGCAGATGGAGGAACGGGAGCTGACACACTGAGGCGGAGAGAACGCCAGGTCCTGCTGCTTTGGGAGAACGGCAGAAAAGAGAGCTGGGCTACGACATGGAGGGGAGAGGGCGGCCACAGTGTCTGCACCTGACCGCTCTGGGCCTCCCACCTTTGGGAAAGCAGAGAGTTCTGCTGCAGAGAAATGAGACGGCTCAGAGAGAAAGATGTCTCCTGCTACAGGGCATGTGCGCTCGCCAGAAAGACAGACACAGAAAGCGAGAAATCACCCGGGGGGTGGGGGGGATGGCCACGCTGCAATCCCTTCTCCTCCATTCTCCTCTCAGGATCTTGGGCACGCACGCACATGCGCCCGGCGTGAGTTTAAGCCACCGGGTCCGGGACTCGAACCGCGGTCAACTACATGGGAGTCCAGTGACATAGCCATTGCGCCACCTGTTGGTCCCTGGGGCTGAATATTAACGTGCGTTCAAATACTTCCCTCGTGCTTGACTAGGTCAGAATCAGGTTCTATCGCTTGCTACCAAAAACCCTAACGGACAGTCTTAGGAGGGCAACTTGGCATTATCTTTTTTCTTAAATAGTTTTACTGGGACAGTATCTGCACACAATAGAGCTCACCATTTAAGTCCACAATTTGGTGGTGGTTTCTGTGTGTGAGCAGTCGTGCATCCCTTAGCAGAGGCAAACCTCGGCACCTTGTACTATCCCCTGAGGAAACCTGGTGCCCACCTGCCCTTTTCCAGCTCTAGCGAACACCCACACTCCAACCCCCTCACTGCCTCCAATCCCGGGCTCTTGGCCCTGCAAAACCACCAGTCTACCTCTGTCTTGAGAGATTTGTGTTCTGCACATCACATACATATGAGCGTACATACGTGGATTTTTAAAAACTTGCCACAGGGCACATGTGCTCACCAGTGAGACAGAGAGAAAAAGCACCCTCAAAGGCATGGTCACGCCACAGTCCCGTATTCATTTTTTTCCTCCTTTCAGGATTTCGGGCATGCATGCACGTACCCAGTATGTTTTTCAAGCCACTGGGTCTGGGACTCGAACCCCAGGGTTGGCAACATGAGCTCCAGCTCATGTAACCACCAGGCCACAGGCCCCAGTCTGTGGACTTCTGTGACTGGGTATTTTAACTCAGTATACTATTTCTTTTTTTTTTTTTTTTTTAAAGAAAGAATTATTTTGGGGACCAGCAGTTAGCGTAATGGCTATGTCACTGGACTCCCATGTAGTTGACCGCTGTTCTCATCCCAGACCCAGTGGCTTAAAATTCATGCCGGGCGCGTGTGCGTGCATGCCCAAGATCCTGAGAGGAGAATGGAGGAGAAGGGATTGCGGCGTGGCCATCCCCCCTAGGGGGTGATTTCTCGCTTTCTGTCTCTCTATCTCTCTCTGTCTGTCTGGCAAGTGCGTGCACCCTATAGCAAAAACCTCACCATAAAAAAAAAAAAGAATTATTTAACTTTATTTATTTATTCATTTTTAATTTGACTAGAGAAGGACAGAGTGAGAGAGAGAGGGAAAGTGAGAAAGTAACCCAGCAGGTGCGGACTCGAACCGTGGTTGGCCATGTGGGAGTCCAGTGCCCTTAACCACCACACCACCTGCTGCCCACAACTGAGCATGCTATCTCTGGAGTTAATCCACACTGTGGTGTGGATCAGGACTTTGTTCTTTTGCACTGCCGAGTAATATTCCACCGTGTGACCATGCCACGCTCCAGCCCTCACTTGATGGGCGAGGAGGTGGCCTCCCCCGTGGCGGTTGTGAGTAGAGCTGCAGTGAACATCCCGCACAGACTGCTCTGCACGCGTGCTTCCTCCTCTCCCTGGGCAGACATCTAGCAGTGGGCCTGCCGGCCACGCACCAACCCCATGCTTTCCATTCTGAGGAACTGAGAGACTAGAATCGTTCCTGTGTGTACAAAGTGTGCCCTGTGGTCATAATCTCAGTTTTCGATCACAGGGCACACTCTGACCTAAATAAAGGAACAGAGGAAGAGACAAGCTCTACAATGGACCTACCCAATTACTGAAAAGAATATCTAACTGTCCCTTAGCTCAGGTGCTGTTACCTCCAAATAACCAGGCCAAGAACGAGGTTAAAGACTCTCCCACAGGGACCAGCAGAGGGTGTAACAGTCACATCGCTGGATGTCCATGTAGTAGACCAGAGTTTGAGTCCTGGACCCAGTGGTTGAAACTCTCGATGGCCCTGCGTGCTCAAAATCCCAAAAGGAGAATGAAGGAGAGCAGGTTATGGCATGCCCATCCCCTATGGGGAGTGATTTCTCGCTGTCTCTCTGGCCAGGGCATCCACCCTATAGCAAAAATTTCTGAAAACAAAACCAAAAACCCTCACATCGAATCTGTCTGCAGTCCCCATAGGATGTGAGTTTTGCAAAACCACATACTCAGGGATTATACTGGCTAGGATAAAAGCGGCCCGACAACGTCCTCTGCCATTTCCGAGATACAGGGACCTGCTCAGACCTCAGAGCAACCTGAGGCCATCAGACGAGTGGCGAGGGCCAGGGTTCATCCCTGCAGTGCTGAGCGAGCCCTGGTAGTCCGCACAGCGGATGCAGGTCACCTGGACACAGCCGTTACCAGATAGACGGAAACTCCAGGACGACTGCTTTTTACCAATATTCGCCCTTCATAAGCATTCTAAAATGCCAACGGACCACTTGATGCGACTTACCTGCTACTGTGAGCTTGGCCGTCCTGCTAACGATGGTCCCGAGACTGTCGCCCGTGGCCACGCACTGGTAGTAGCCCTCGTCGGGCTTGTTGTGTTTGGAGTGTACCACGCTGCTGATGAACAAGGACCCGTCCGCCAGGAGCTGGCGACGGTCGTCGGACACCAGGTTTAAAAAAGTTCCGTCTTTCTTCCATTCGATTTTTGGAGGAGGCTCAGAATACGCTGAACAGTTCAATACAACAGAAGAGCCTCGAACCGAGAGTGTATCCGCTGGCTCCACCAGGAAGTGAAACGGAGTGAAGGTCCTGACGCTGGCTCCTACAGGAACAAAGGCAGAGCAGAGCTAAGCACAGCTCCCTCCTGCTAGTGAGGGAGATACGCATGTCCAGAACGTGTCCCTAAACGGCTGTGCCCCAGAGCTCTGCTAGTAAGTATGACTGTCTTCCTAGGACTGCCCACTGAATAAGACTTACTTTTTAGTAGGAAACTAAATATTGACTCAGAAGAAAATTGGGGGGAGGGAACCCATCTCCCTGATATAATAAAGTCCCATTAGATGACATGAGTATCTGATGAAAGCTTTATTTAAAGTCTCATAATGAAATTAATAAATATTTTAAATTACCACATTCAAAGTGACATTATCTACAGAACAGAAAGGAGGCAGAAGATGGAAGGGATTCTTTGTGAAAAGAGTATCTCCTCACATTTTCTGGCTGTGTTTCTTTCATAAATTCACCAGAGCTACACCTTGTCCGTTTCTCTAGTAGATTGTTCACTGTCTTGATTAGAAAGGGATCTCAGGACACAGCTATCATGTTTTACAAATGTCCGTTCTGAGTTTTGTTTTTTTTTGTCCTTAATAAATTTTGTTGTAAGAAAATAAATTTTAAACTATATAAAATTAAATGTTATATTTAGAAAAGTCTTCTTTTGCCCAAGAGTCTAAAAATAAAATAAAACCCAGCCTTGTTTCATTCTATTGGTTTTGTGGTTCCATTTCTACATTTAATCTTCATCTAGAAATCATTTTGATGTGAGGAGCCAGGAGGATTAGCTTCGCTTTTCTAAGATCCCGGCCAATTCTGTGACCATGGGGAGAACAAAACTGAAAGAAAACCCTGACTACAAACCTATGTTCTCAGCTGGAGGAAGCTTCCCAACGGAAGGCTTTACCACTGTTCTTCAAGGAAACTACAGTAAATAATCTCTACTTGTAAACAACTCAAGCCGAGTCAGGCACCTTCATGTCAACAGCCAAGGAAGGCCCACTCCAACAACGAAACCAGGACTTTCGAAGCTGCCCTCTCTTTCACAGTGTATCTACACACACCCCGGCCTGCCTCTCGTTCACAGCGTATCTACAGACACACCGGCCTGCCTCTCGTTCACAGGGTATCTACACGCACACACCGGCCTGCCTCTCGTTCACAGGTGCTCTAACAACCAACCGCACCGCCTATCGC